TCTCTTTAAATGAATAACCGTATTGCGATAGACATAATCCAATCATGTCTATGCTCAATGCAAACACCAATCTCGATGGTAGAGGGAGCGTGCGATGCTTGATCATATCAACATTGGAAACACTTCCAACACATATCGTCAGCTCACCTTTAGCTAGTCTCCGTTTATTCCGTAGCTTTTATTTCGAGTTACTAACACTTAGCAACCGAACCGGTATCTAATACCCTGGTGCTACTAGGAGTACTAGTAAAGTACACATCAACACAATGTATATCCAATATACTTCTATCGACCTTGCCAGCCTTCTCATCTACCAAGTATCTAGGGTAATTCTGCTCCAGTGGCTGTTCCCCTTATTACAGAAGCACTTAGTCTCGGGTTTGGGTTCAACCTTGGGTTTCTTCACTAGAGCAGCAGCTGAATTGCCGTTTCATGAAGTATCCCTTCTTTCCCTTGCCCTTCTTGAAACTAGTGGTTTCACCAACCATCAACAATTGATGCTCCTTCTTGATTTCTACTTTTGTGGTGTCAAACATCGTGAATATCTCAAGGATCATCATATATGTCCCTGATATATTATAGTTCATCACGAAGCTCTAGCAGCTTGGTGGTAATGACTTCGGAGAAGCATCACTATCTCATCTGAAAGATCAACTCCCACTCGATTCAAGCGATTGTTGTACTCAGACAATCTGAGCACAAGTTCAACAATTGAGCTTTTCTCCCTTAGTTTGCAGGCTAAGAAAATCGTCGGAGGTCTTATACCTCTTGACGTGGGCACGAGCCTGAAATCCCAATTTCAGCCCTCGAAACATCTCATATGTTTCGTGACGTTTCAAAACATCTTCGGTGCCTCAACTCTAAGCCATTTAACTGAACTATCACGTAGTTATCAAAATGTGTATGTCAGATGTTCGAACATCCATAGACGACGTTCGAGGTTCAGCACACTGAGCGGTGCATTAAGGACATAAGCCTTCTATGAAGCAATGAGGACAATCCTCAGTTTACGGACCTAGTCCGCATAATTGCTACTATCAACTTTCAACTAATTTTTTCTCTAGGAACATATCTAAACAGTAGAACTGAAGCGCGAGTTACGACATAATTTGCAAAATCCTTTTTGACTATGTTCAGGATAATTAAGTTCATCTTATGAACTCCCACTCAGATAGACATCCCTCTAGTCATCTAAGTGATTACATGATCCGAGTCAACTAGGCCGTGTCCGATCATCACGTGAGACGGACTAGTCAACATCGGTGAACATCTTCATGCTGATCGTATCTACCATACGACTCATGCTCGACCTTTCGGTCTTCTGTGTTCCGAGGCCATGTCTGTACACATGCTAGGCTCGTCAAGTCAACCTAAGTGTTTCGCGTGTGTAAATCTGTCTTACACCCGTTGTATGTGAACGTTAGAATCTATCACACCCGATCATCACGTGGTGCTTCGAAACAACGAACTGTCGCAACGGTGCACAGTTAGGGGGAACACTTTCTTGAAATTTTAATAAGGGATCATCTTATTTACTACCGTCTTTCTAAGCAAATAAGATGTATAAACATGATAAACATCACATGCAATCAAACAGTGACATGATATGGCCAATATCATGTTGCTCCTTTTGATCTCCATCTTCGGGGCTTCCATGATCATCATCGTCACCGGCATGACACCATGATCTCCATCATCATGATCTCCATCATCGTGTCTTCATGAAGTTGTCTCGCCAACTATTACTTCTACTTCTACAGCTAACGGTTAGCAATAAAGTAAAGTAATTACATGACGTTTATGTTGACACGCAGGTCATAAATAAATTAAGACAACTCCTATGGCTCCTGCCGGTTGTCATACTCATCGACATGCAAGTCGTGATTCCTATTACAAGAACATGATCAATCTCATACATCACATATATCATTCATCACATCCTTTTGGCCATATCACATCACAAGGCATACCCTGCAAAAACAAGTTAGACGTCCTCTAATTGTTGTTTGCATGTTTTACATGGCTGCTATGGGTTTCTAGCAAGAACGTTTCTTACCTACGCAAAAACCACAACGTGATATGCCAATTGCTATTTACCCTTCATAAGGACCCTTTTCATTGAATCCGTTCCGACTAAAGTGGGAGAGATAGACACCCGCTAGCCACCTTATGCAACTAGTGCATGTATGTCGGTGGAACCAGTCTCATGTAAGAGTACGTGTAAGGTCGGTCCGGGCCGCTTCATCCCACAATACCGTCGAAACAAGATTGGACTAGTAACGGTAAGCATATTGAACAGAATCAACGCCCACAACTACTTTGTGTTCTACTCGTGCATAGGAACTACACCTAGACCTAGCTCATGATGCCACTGCTGGGTAACGTAGCATAAATTCAAAATTTTCCTACATGTCACCAAGATCTATCTATGGAGTCATCTAGCAACGAGGGAGGAGTGGATCTACATACCCTTGTAGATCGCGCGCGGAAGCGTTCAAGAGAACGGGGTTGATGGAGTCGTACTCGTCGTGATCCAAATCACCGATGATCCTAGCGCCGAACGGACGGCACCTCCGCGTTCAACACACGTACGGAGCAGCGACGTCTCCTCCTTCTTGATCCAGCAAGGGGAAAGGAGAGGTTGATGGAGATCCAACAGCACGACGGCGTGGTGGTGGAAGTAGCGGGATTCCAACAAGGCTTCGCCAAGCGCTGCGGGAGAAGGGAGATGTGTCATGGGAGGGAGAGGGAGGCGCCAGGGCTTAGGTATGGTTGCCCTCCCTTCCCCCCACTATATATAGGGCCAAGGGAGAGGGGGAGGGCGCAGCCTTGCCCCTTCCTCCAAGGAAGGGTGCGGCCAAGGGGGGAAGGAGTCCATCCTCCCCAAGGCACCTCGGAGGTGCCTTCCCCCTTTAGGACTCTCCCCTCCTCTTGTCCCTTTGGCGCATGGGCCTCTAGGGGCTGGTGCCCTTGGCCCATGTAGGCCAAGGCGCACCCCCTACAGCCCATGTGGCCCCCCGGGGCAGGTGGCCCCACCCGGTGGACCCCCGGGACCCTTCCGGTGGTCCCGGTACAATACCGGTGACCCCGAAACTTGTCCCGATGGCCGAAATAGCACTTCCTATATATAATTCTTTATCTCCGGACCATTCCGGAACTCCTCGTGACGTCCGGGATCTCATCCGGGACTCCGAACATCTTTCGGGTTACCGCATACTAATATCTCTATAACCCTAGCGTCACCGAACCTTAAGTGTGTAGACCCTACGGGTTTGGGAGACATGCAGACATGACCGAGATGACTCTCCGGCCAATAACCAACAGCAGGATCTGGATACCCATGTTGGCTCCCACATGTTCCACGATGATCTCATCGGATGAACCACGATGTCAAGGACTTAATCAATCCCGTATACAATTCCCTTTGTCTAGCAGTACGATACTTGCCCGAGACTCGATCGTCGGTATCTCGATACCTTGTTCAATCTCGTTACCGGCAAGTCTCTTTACTCGTTCCGTAACACATCATCCCGTGATCAACTCCTTGGTCACATTGTGCACATTATGACGATGTCCTACCGAGTGGGCCAGAGATACCTCTCCGTCACACGGAGTGACAAATCCCAGTCTCGATTCATGCCAACCCAACAGACACTTTCGGAGATACCTGTAGTGTACCTTTATAGTCACCCAGTTATGTTGTGACGTTTGGCACACCCAAAGTATTCCTACGGTATCCGGAAGTTGCACAATCTCATGGTGTAAGGAAATGATACTTGACATTAGAAAAGCTTTAGCGAACGAACTACACGATCTTTGTGCTAGGCTTAGGATTGGGTCTTGTCCATCACATCATTCTCCTAATGATGTGATCCCGTTATCAACGACATCCAATGTCCATGGTCAGGAAACCGTAACCATCTATTGATTAACGAGCTAGTCAACTAGAGGCTTACTAGGGACATGGTGTTGTCTATGTATCCACACATGTATCTGAGTTTCCTATCAATACAATTCTAGCATGGATAATAAACGATTATCATGAACAAGAAAATATAATAATAACTAATTTATTATTGCCTCTAGGGCATATTTCCAACAAAATCAATATACAATTTGTATATATTTAAGTTTAGATAAGTCAGATTTAAATTAATCAAATTTCAACTAAAAAACAAATTAAAATAAAAAATAAAGATAATATATGCCGACGGCCGCTGTCAGGGCCGTCTGCATAGCTTTGACGGCGTCAGCCCATCGTCAACCCCGGGGTCGCCACGGCCATGTCTATGCGGATGGCCGTCCTATGCCTACGGCTGCCGTCGGCATATATGGAGATATGCTGACGGCTTTTCTATGCCTACGGCTGCCGTAGGCATATCTCCAGCTATGCCAACGGCTTTTCTATGCTGACGGCTTTCTGCGGGCCTTAGGCATATCTCCGGCTATGCCGACGGCCCCGACAAAAAGTTGTCGGCATAGTAAATGCCGTCGGCATAGACAGTTATTCCGGTAGTACTAGGTTGGGAAATTATGTGTCGATGAAAATTAGATGCGACACATGTGTGCTAACTAGATGGAAACTTATGTGTCGATGAAAGACTGAAGCATAAATATTGACAACATTTAAAAAGCAAAAGGCAATTCCAATGCAGTCCTTCCATGGAACTAAAATATGAAATGTTACACATTACGGACCCAAAGCACCAAACTTCCGAGGAGCTACAACCAAGTCCAAAGTAAATGGCAGGTCCATACATTCTACTATTGCAGCAACAACATCCCAAATTATGGTGCATGAGGAGTTTAATCCTTCTCCAAGATACTAGAAACTGAACGAGAAAAAAAGGCAATTCTCATAAGATGCGGCACTACAAGCTACAGAAAACAACAAAAACATGCAATGAGATTAATAGCCAAAGAACATGAACTAATCTAAAGAATAGTATGCCAAGCAACATCAACGGGCTAGTTCAAGTTTTGAAAATAGTGCAACAATATCAAGGAAAAAACTCATCAATGCAATTTCATTTTTGACAATTTGGCATTATGATTAAAACAAATTGAGCATCGTCTCCCAAAAGGGAACAATGGTAGGATGACAGAAGTTATTAAATGAAACATGTCAGGAGCATATAGTTTCATCTCTAACAGTTCATCCTCCTTCACTGTACTTCAAATTTAAAAGCCAGCCATATACGGTTTCAGAGCATTGGTAGTTGATTGATCATAAATGACACTAGTGCTTCAATGTCTAGCGAAATTTGAAATCGATTGCCCTAACACTTGATAATATGTCAATACGATGCAAACCCACAAAGTGATGGGAAAAGACAAGTTGGCAGATTTGGATCCAGATTCTAGTTGATAAACTAAAGATTCATTACCATGCAGAAACATGCAACCGTACAGATTGTAAGAATACTATAATGCTTGGACCTAATGAAACACTGAGGACACTGATGAGTAGTGAGATCAAGCATTACCTAAATCAAATTAAATTTATCTACGTACTTGATGGGGTACTCCAACCAGCAGGCGACGCCTAGCAGGTACAATATATTTCGCGCTTCCCTGGCCACACTCTCCCTTGGTCAAACCAACATCTTCTCCCTTTGCCAAACCAGCACGCACTCTTGCACCATCCAATTTTACCGGAGCAGGGCACTGAAAGAGAATAATTTCAACCACACAAAATACCAACCACACAAAATACAAACCACACAATAGACTAACCCCACAAGATATAAAAGTACCTTGTATATACTCCCTCCATTCCAAAATATAGTGCGCCCGCGCTTCCCGGGGTCGAACTTTGACCATAAATTTAACAAACGAGACCGACTGCGGCGGGAGAAAAAGTTACATAATTAAAAACTTCTTTCGAGTACGAATTCACTGATATAACTTTTGTTCCCGCCGCAATCGGTCTTGGTAGTTAAATTTAGGTCAAAGTTGAAGCACGGAGATAGAGGAAGCACTACATTGTGGAACGGAGGGAGTATATCTTAACCTAGCCTCCTCCTCTGCCAGCCTAGTCTCCTCATCCTCGATGTATGCAGGTACATCTATGCCAGGGATAATATCACACCGTAGATCAAAACAGCAACATGGTAAGCGCGAGGCAGCGTGCCCACCTTTGTATTTATCAGTATCAACAGGGTGCCTCAAATCAACATTTCCATAACTCAGGCAACCATAGCATTGGCCTTAGGCAAAAACAGTGTGTGTAAAAAGTCAATACATATGGCTGGGCATGAACTACCTTAGATATTAAAAGCTCAAAGACAACAAATAAGATGAAGGGCAGATAAATGTGACCCCAAACTGTATAACAGAACTTAATCTAAAGTGAAAATAATACCGTGATTTATCATTTAATTACCAAATAACCAACTAGGCAAAAGAATCATGTTTAGACTCTCAGTACATATGGTTGCCCACCTAGCTTATGTAATTAAACTTTAGTAAAGCCTGGGACTATGACACAAGGAGCAACCAAACAGGTCAACCAGAAAAAATGTGACCCCAAATTGTATGAACAGAAGTTATCTAAGGTGGAACAAAAACCATAGAGTAGTCATTTCCTTACCAAATAATCAAGCAGGAAAAATAACAAACATTTGTAGGAACTAGAAAGTCACTACTTTATGGCTGGGCGTGAACTATTTTAGACATTAAACAGTGGATGAGATGAAGGTAAAAATGAAACAAGGAGCAACCAAACACGTCAATCAGATAAATGTGAGGCCAAACTGTATGAACAAAACTTAATACAAGGTGGAAAATATACCATTGTCAGTAGCTTTAACCATACATAAACAACTGAGTACATATACATTTTCTCCTTTAATTTGTCTGACTTCAGCAAAAAATAGATTGTTGACGCCACTGTGCAAACCATCTTCTCCTTTGGTTTTTGTAGCCAGATTGATATGATAGAACCTAGTCACTTTCCCCCCCTCAACAAATTCTCGGAAGATAACAACACCATCAAGTTCATATGCAAAATCCTGAAAAGGAGGCATGGATTTTGTCAGCAATTAGAACATGAATATAACAACAAATAAGACAATCCTGGTAAGAGGACTGGGAGTGAGAGCGGGCAAGAGGGAGAGAGAGTAAACCCCCAAAAGATGATGATCTTCATTGTATTTGTCTAGTAACGCTTGAACCAATAAGCTGATATTCCTATGTTCTGCATTGCCTTCAGAAGATTTCTTCCTTGTGCCATCAGGCCAATGAAGGGCGTGTAATATACCAATCTCAGCATCCGAAAGCCCATCTGTGCACCTAGTTCAGGTCAGAGTATTCTATCTGTTGGTACATTGTAATTTCTATTATGATGAAAAACCATAACAAAGTTGAGAAAACTCACATCATTGGAGAGCGCAACTCATCAAGATGGCTAGTGATAGCGTTCTCAGCTTCCTGCAAGCTCTGAAATGGCCCGCCCAAACTAGGATACGTGTGGAAAGAACCCTCGACATCTATTCTGATGAAAAATTGTAGATGCCAACCAGAAGGATTGCGAGCGAAAATAGGTGGAGACGATTGCCTTGACACTGGCAAGATGTCACGAGTTAGCACCTCTGGCTATGTGGAGGAAGAGGAAGTGCTGGTGTTCTTTGACTCTAGCACATCATAAGAAGGGTACTCGCACCTGAAGCGGACACATGGTCAGAAGGTTAGTAGAGAGGGAGCAAAAAAGAAAAAGGAAAAAAAGTGTCGCATGCTCAAGTCTGAATTGGACGACACGCTGGACGAGTTCAAGAATAACTTAAATTATAGGAGATGCATAAAATAGAACACTGAGAGAAAGGAAAAGAAGAGTTAATTTTTCTTCAGTGCCTATCTATACACGACAACC